AATAACATAAGAATAGAAAAGATTCAGTTTACTTACTCTTCTGTTTCTTCTGGAGGCTTTTGGCAGCGATGCAAACGCGATGCAGTTTGTATCGATGCAGTCACGCGCTTGCATCGCAACTTAAAACCGCACGTGTGTGTAAATGTAGACGATAAGCGACAGCATCGCTACCGCATCGCGTTTGCATCGCTGCCAAAAGCCTACATGTGTAACCGCTCTAAAATGCGTATATTTGTTTTTCAAACAAAGGTTAAGATATTTTGATTTTCCAAAGAAAATTCTGATTTTGCTGCATATTATGTTTTTGCAAAATATTTTATTTTACTTTAACAATATGGTTTTTTAAATTTATTATTGCAATAGTGGGAACAAAAGAAAAAAATTAAAATCAAAACATATTGATTAATACAGCAGTTTTATGTTTCTTTGGGATTTTACATCAGAGGAAATACTGCATCCCATAGCTGGTGGTACGGAGTAACCATCTTGCCTGTTGAAATAAGAGTGTTTCACATCAACTGTATGTTCTTTGATAGAAAAACTTCGCTTCGTTTATTTAATGTAAGGGAGACCGTACTGACAGTCAAGTTTATAAAGTCCTGTGAGGGGATGTTACATTTCACGGGTCTCAGGAACGGAGAAATCTTCATCAGGATACGGTTAACATCCTGGTCTGTCATGCAGAGGTCCCGGGTGCGATTCCCGAGTCGGGAGAAATATTTGTATTGCCTACATTTATTTCTCTCGTTAGTTTGGGTGTAATTTGTGGTAGTCTTGTGTGTGCATGGCACCTGCGATACTGGATTTCCCTAGTGAGAGTAGAGAGGCTATGAGTGTGTGCGTATTTACGTAGAACGCACTATACATTTCCGGAACTGGCCACTTACATAAACAATATTTAAAAAGTAATTACAACATTTGAAAATGGAACTCTTTGGATGTTGAATACAGTTTGTTTCATCTGACTGTCACTTGTTTAGAAATTGGTTCTCGACATCACCATTTTCACGAGTTAAACGTGAAAATTTTCGTAGTATGATTGTGTAATTTAGAGTAAAAAGTTTCAACGACTAAAAAGTCGTTGAAAGACCAGGTACAAAGACACGACGCAAGCACATAGAAAAATTCGTGAGGTCCGTTGGTTCGTTCCGTGGCTTAGTTGGTATAGCGTCTGCCACGGTATGCAAGAAGACGTCCGGTTCGAATCCGACCGGATCGAAGGAATTTTTTCTGAGTGTTTTTTCTGAGTGTTCGATCTTTGTATTAATAATTATAATTTAGAGTAATTTAACAGTTCAGCGGAGCTTCGCTCGGCTTCAAACTGCTTTCTGCGATGAAACACCATGCAAGATGACTATTTATAACTGGTTTGCAGAATTCAAACGAGGTCGTGTGAATCTCAGTGACGAATTTCGTGATGGTTGCCCGTCCACTGCTGTGAAGAACAAAAACATTGATGCTGTGCACCGTCTGATCAAAACTGACAGGCACGTGACATACCATGAGATTCGGGCATCTCTAGGCATAGGCACGAGTCAAATGCAATTTGTCTACATAAACATTTGAGTGTGAACAACCTGTGCTCTCGCGGAATCTCACACAATTTGACTGAGGCTCAAAAAACGGATCGCGTCACTCGGTGCAATGCCAAGCTTACGGAATATTGAACTAGGCATTGCTTTATACCTGCTATAATTAGGGTCAACCACGGAGTATATTGAAACGGCATTTAAAGCAATTTCTTCGAGAACTAGCGTATCTGACTGTTACACGCACACATTTGTTACCAAATACGCATAAGGTTTTACTACACGCAAATATTAATTGATATAACCTACGCAGGCGTGTGCGTGCCTATACGTAGCTACATGCTACAATCACAGTATTAATGGTACTGTCATCGTACTTTCATTAACCTACTAGATTTGAAGTCAATCCGATCACTGAAAGGGTTGAAATATTAAAACACAGTCATCATAAAAAGCTTTATTCTCCCTGAAATATGATATATTTGGTCAACAATTCCCTCTTTCTGAGCTGACTGAACAAAGCTATACCTATAGCTTCGACGAGCTTGTCAAGAAAATGAAGATACTTATTTCCGAAAGCGAAGAAGCAAATCATTTGTGTTTTGTGAAAACTTGACGAAAAACGACTGACAATGCTTCAGAAATGTTTTCACATTTAGATGAGGTCTATAATTTGTGAATACGACTCTGAGTTTCATTTCATATATTACCTGATTAACCAAATGATTTATTTCTTAATGAATTTTTCGGTTGTTATTCATATGTACATTTTACACAACACGTACACAATTTAATGTGATGTCATGCAATGCATATAGCAAATGGTGCTACATTTAGTAGGGACCAAGCTTTTACTGCCTGATGCTTCAGCCCATTTTTCCTTTAAAAAGGATCCGGCGGGAAACTAAAAAATCAATCCAAAAACTGCAAATGTAAATCATGCCTGTGATAAAAACTCAAGCGGACGAAGGTGACGTATAATTAGCAAGTAGGGAGATAGGAATCATGTAGATAAGGGAAAGAAAATCTCCAATCTCATAAAGTCTTCATTTGATACTCCACGAACTTACGTGCATTGAAAAATTATCAACACTGTACCTCTTCTATCTATATTTCATTTTTTCCATTAATACATCGTTTGTACTTAAATTGAAAATAAAAAACAACTATTGCGAGTGTTGGGACCAAACATATAAGTAATCAAAACTGTTAGCTTTTAAATACCTGTAAACAATTTATGTTTACACATTGGTACCGCTATAATAAAAAAAAGTTGAACTAAACCAAAACCGGGTTTCTAAATACAGAGTTTCTACATATCGATAATTTGATTACAACACGCGGGCCTAGTACCAAGTGTAATACGACACTAGTGGAAGCAATTCATTGGGCGTCATTCGAATTGTTCTTTTGACGGCGGCGATGGTTAGCAATCAATGTATATTGTTATTCCGAGTTTCAAGAAAATAGTTTTATTTCGAAATTACAGTATTGTATTGTGGAAAATATTAGAAAATACAGAGTTTTAGTACTTACCGATGAAAGGAAATCACTCCCGGAGTATTTTTTAAATTTTGGCTTCTTACGCGACATGCTATATCTAATGGCACAATTCGGCATATTTCTATTTTTTTCCACAAAATAATCATGTATCACATTTGAACGACGTCTGACGCGCTGTTGACACTCATATCTGGTGATAAGCTAGGTAACGCGGACCCCGCCCACTAACCAGTCTATTACTAGTATTTATGTGGTCTGTGTTTTGGGTTAAGGAAAACACCGTGATGAAACCTGCATATTAAAGATTCACAATGCTCGGAAAACGTGCGAAGTCCCCAACCCGCATTGAGCTAGCTGGCGGACTATGCCCTAAACCTTCGCCTTAGAGGAGACCCGTATCCAGCAGTGAGTCGTATAAAATGGGTTTGTGGAGTAGCAAATTTTTTTTTCTATTTACTTCCATTTTTATAAACATGGGCTTCCGCAAATTAACGCCTGTCTAAATAATCTATTAATTGGATAAAATGGGTTGATGATGACGTAAATTGTTCAATACGTAAATAACATTGATCTGTGGAATTATTTGTAATCAAGAAAACATTGCGAGTGTTCAATATTTTTTCATTTTCGATTCTTATTCTTTCTTTATGCAATATTTGAGCTTTTAATATACTCTTTTGAGAATCCAAAAGATTTAGGAATCGAACACCATAGGGAATGTTTAATGCGACTTTACTTTTAGGCTTACGTTAAGTCTTTGTATACAGGGTGTAACGTAAAGGGTATATGAATATCAAGTGCTCCGACTTTGTTTGTGAGTTTGAGATGAGTGGCGTTTTTCGGTTTTTAAAACATTCAAATTTTAGAAGTTGCGTTTTAACCTTTTAGACTCGTGTCCCTCTGGCTGATCGCCTGGGTAAGACCGTGGATCACGTATTTGGAGCCTGTATTCTGGATCTCTGTACCATCAGTGATACGCGCACTTTTGTATGGATTTTTTGGACGTAACGCTTGCAGCACGGAGGTACAGAATACGTGGGCTGGAATCTTTCAATATAAAGCCTTCCCTAGGCAGGGTAGATATCACAACATTCTTGTACCCAATTTCGTTCAATAAGTTCAAGTTAAAAAAATCTAGTTGAACTAATTGGTATATTTTTGTCCAATTACTTCAAGTGACTGAACTTATAGTTGAACTTAGTGGAATAGAAGGCAAATGTGACGAGCTGCGCACGATGACGGCCAGCCCTTTTAATATTTTTGCCGTACCCAGTAGCTAACGCCGAATGACAGGAAGTACGAAATCACCACTAGTATAGTGGTGGAACGATAGCTTAAGTACGAATCAGTGATTTGTGAAAGCAGAACGGCTCTTAATACTTTGAAGTAGAGCTTTCAATGTGTTGTAATTGTTAAAGGTTACATTAGGTTTCAATAGCCTTGCACCCTTTGAAACAAACAGTTCCTGTCACACACATTCACCTTGGTCTTAAGGCATATTTTTTTTATGATACTAAGTGACTTGATGAAGATCCTGCACCTGGTGGTCAGCGACACCTGTATACAACAGTTGTAGTGCCACGCAGAGTTGTAAATCGCAAATATCTGAGAGGCACTGCCACTGAGCCCGGTCTCCGAGACATAAACTGACAAGTTCCACGTGAGTGTAATTTCACCAGCACCCTCTCTACTCTAGAACTCTACAAAACCGAAAATTAGTAATGCTGATATTACTGCTTGGTGGCAAAAATAGGTGAGGTGGTAGTACTTCCCTGGACGAACTCTTTCACAAGGGCATCTACGGGTTGTAGTGCTGGGGCACATTTTTGTTGCACACAATGCTTTGCAATGTTTAGACACAATGCTTGTTTTACTTGACTTGAAACTTCACACTCACAGACGATCTACGTTTCGTAGATACATATTTTACATAATTATATTGGTATACGCTTATCGTTACACCCTGTATTGGTGAAGCTTTGTTGGATAATTTTAAAACTGCGATATTAGGGATTCAGGGATGATTGAACGGTTTGCAATAAGAGAGCTACGGGCTTTGTATGCGGAACATTATGAACATAAATAAATAAATGTTGCCGAACGGTAAATGCTTTATTGTCGAACTTTCTGCTAAGTAGGTAATTCGTTTTATTGGGTTTTGTAAGCGTTCGTAGAATGTGACCACGTAATAAATTTAGGCATTAAACAACACTTAGTTGTATGCATTACATTAAAGATTTGCTGCGATATACTCCGATTAAGGCAAATCGTTCTTCTTGTAGAGTTTTGGATTTCGCCACGTACAAGTGTAAGGCAGACTTGGTGTTGGTGGTTTATTTTTGGATAAATACTCGTTTTTTATGGTAGCGACATGCAAGTCATAACAGTTGCAGTACCACTCAGAGCTTTAGAACACAAAGATCTGAGGGGCACTGCCACTGGGCCCGTCACCTTGAGACATAAGTTGGTAAGTCTCATGTACCTGTAATTTCACCAGCACCGTTACCTTTCAGAACCGGCACGCAGTAATGTGAGCATTACTGCTTGGTGGCAGAAATAGGTATGGTGGCAGTACTTCCCAGGACAAATTCTATCATAAAGAGCTCTACTACTACTAAAGCTACTATTAAATATTTAATATTAGTTTCTACAAAATTCAAATTTAATTATACGCGTATATGAAAGATCCAGCAAAAATCAAATAGAATCTGATATTGAAATATCTTAATATATTGCATTTTAGAGTGATAGAGCGAATCATCGACAAGCTGGCGCGAAGACACGGGGTGCACATCAACGAGTATGATGCGAGCAACGGTGCCGACAATGCTAAACGCCTAAACGGCAAAAATGGAATGCCACATATCAGAGATTTTACAGCTGGTAATTGTATTTTTAGTCTTCCTATGCTACATATCACAAATTCCATTGTACAGAACTTTACTTTACAGAAAGCGCTTTCAACTCTCAATAAAAAGAGCGTCTTTACTTCAAGATTACGATAATATCCAAGTATTTTTTCGTTTCACCAAATGGCATTTCGTCGGGCGCGTTTGTAGCTTGCTAAAAGGCGCGTATCTTCACGTAATCAAATTTTACAGGTGAGGTTTTAAACGTTATTACTTTGTTATTTCAATGACTACGACTTTCATTTTTGCACAGTAAGCATTAATTTAAGATGTTTTTGGACTGATAACAACAGATTCCAGTAAATCAGGCTAATTTGGTTGCTGCGACTATTACGCGGATTTAGTTTGGCCTCCAAATCACCGAAATGACAATTTCATAACGTATGCTAGTTACGCGTAATTGCACTATCCCCGACGATATTTTTGTGTTGTAGGTACGTATTGTTAATTGTATTTTTCACACTGTTTGTCATTACCAGTAAGAAGATTAAATTTTCATGGTTATTTCTACCCATGAAAAGTTTCAATTTGTTTTTCTTATTAATATTTAACAAAGAATTTTTAGATCCGGCAAGACTGGGAAACGAGTCAGCAGGCCCTACGAATTTCTCCGTATTCTTGTTGCAGATCTTAGTTTTTGGTTTTTAGCGGCTGTTTTGTCATAGAGCCACCGGCCGGATTGAAGGAATTTTTCTTTGTGTTAATTAGTAATGATTATATCGTCGGGGATAGCGCAATTACGCGGCTCTAGCATTTGATTATGAGTCTCCATTTCGGTAATTTTGTCGCAAATCAAATCCGCGTAAATGTCGTGGCAACCAAATTTGCGAGATTTACTGGAATCTTTTCTTATCAGTCCGTAGACAACATAAATTAATGCTTACTGTGCAAGAATGAAAGTCGGTAGCCATTGAGTAATAACGTTAAATCCCTCTCCTGTGAAATTTGGTTTGGTGCAGATACGCGCCTTTTACCAATGCTATATACGCGGATTTACACTGTACCCGATGGTATAATGGTTATAAAAAACATGATGTTCAATCAAATAAATATTGCAATTAATCTTCTTATCTATCTGTGAAAGCATTTCATTTCGGTTAGCTGAGTAACAAAACGCAGTCAACTGTAATTATATGAAAATTACTATTGGCTACTGTACTACCAACCGCATTAAAATTTCAACCTCTATTCTATTTAATCGCAAAGTTCAGAATATTCCACTGGAATTCGTATTTATCTTTCACACTGCAGTCGGCACTTAAGCGTCAGCTAAGGACTTGTCATGTGTAAGTTTTTACAAGCTTCAGAGGATTTTCTGATTTCCGGCGTACATTTTCGTAGTACACATTTTTCTTGCTATGTTTAGATAGCATAAATGTTGTATAAGAAACTTGATATTGGAATAGGCGCACCGAAACCTGGGCTTCTTTAAAAATCGTTTGGAAGTTTTGTCATCTTAATAATATACACACATCAAAAAAAGTTTGCGATCACTTCGAAAAACTGAAATCTTTTTTGTTACTGTAGATTATATTATGATTTTTTCTTCTTTTTAGATTCTTTATTTAAAAATAAATTAGAACATAAAACAATGACCCCGTTCAATGTTTTTTCATATAAAAAGGCTTTCAGTCCTAGCTTACGCTCATTCAGAAATCTGATTTAGTCAATTATAAGCGATTCAAGATATTTTTCGCGGAAAGTTGTGATTGAAAAAATGCCAAGAGGATTATCAGAGGTTTTACGAGCTAGAATAGTAACTTTGAGGGAAGAAGGATACACCACGAGAGTAATAGCACGCAGACTTGCTATATCCCAATCCTGTGTCGTGGCTACGTTGCAGAGGTATCACGGAATGGGGAATTTAGCTGACCGACCCCGCAGACGTCGCCCAACTGTTTTGACAGCTGCCCAAAAGCGCTATATTAGATTGCTGGCAGCCCGTGATCCAACAATCAACGCCACTAAAATAAAAGCAGAAGTCAGGGCCGCCTCTGGGCTTGAAGTTAGCACGCAGACCGTTCGCAATTGCTTGCACCAGACTGGATTACGAGCACGGAGGTCTTGGCGAGCTCCGCTCAATTCCCGGCAACGTCAACAACGAAGATTGCAGTGGGCTAGACTTCGGCAAAATGAAGAAGGTGAGGACGAAAACATTTGGCAAAACTGTCTCTTCGTTAACGAATCCCGAATCAGCACTCATCCAGATAACCGACGTGTCCGTGTCTGGAGAAGACCAGGCGACCGTGAAAGACAAAGAACTGCCACTGGAACAGTTCAGCAAGGCGAAAAATCGGTGTCCTTTTGGGGTGGCATTATGATTGGAGCTAGAACGCCTTTGATCCCGTATCGGGGCTTCATGACAGCAGACATGTACAAAGCAGTTGCTATTGATGATATCGTCAGACCATTCCGAGTAAACCACGGGCACCAATTTGTACTGGTCGATGATATTGCGCCCGCACATCGAGCTCAACGAGTCAATGCTGCTCTTCAAGAATACGATATCACACGATTAGACTGGCCTGCCGGCTCGCCCGACTTAAACCCAATAGAGCACGCGTGGGATGCTCTTAAACGAGCAGTATGGAACCGTGAGCCACGTCCCCAGACAGTTCCAGAGCTCAGGGAAGCCGCTATTGAAGAATGGGATAGGTTACCCCAGGAAATGCTGGATAACTTGATCCTCAGCATGCCCAGGAGGATCTTCGCATGTATTCGAGCCAGGGGAGGAGTTATTTTATATTGAATTCACACCTTTTAATAATAAATTGTTGTTTAAGTTTAATTAAACAGTCTTTTTCTTTCTATGAAATTTCTATCTCTATTACATTATGATTAATGGCTCAATTTTTTAAAATAAATAATAAAAAATAGTTTTATATTTTAATTTCAAACAGGGTATTCCTATTTAAAGAAAGCATACAACATAGATTTTTTCTTGATAAAGTTAAATTTAAAGAATTATAGGAGCTTATGCTATTGATCGCAAACTTTTTTTGATGTGTGTATATCTGATCTTTGAATCTGAATCTAAAATTTATCGTTTTTTGATAATACGTCACCAGATCACTTTGAATTTAATTTGTTCTATACAAACAGACTTAAGAGGATAGAAAAAAGTAAAGGAAAGGAGCTGCCCTATCTACGGAATAAACGTACCTATCTAAACCAAAATTGTACCAAACATATGGCGGATTTAGTGTTGTACCATAATTATAGATAAGTTAATATCGACATGCAAATGTGTGGCTTGAATGTTGAAACTGTTTTTCGTTTGCAAATTTGTATAGTTTACTGTAATCAAAGTATGATTAATACTAGGCTATTATTACTAAGGAAGTTACGAGCCATTTTAATCAAAATTAAATATAGTTATTTACCAATAAATGTAACGATGGAATTGCATTATCATGTAATCTAGTTACATACAAAGTTCTATTAAAATTTGACTCTTCAAAATAGAGCGAACAAACGAAGATGATATTTGATCCAATGTTTATGTTCGGCAGTCCTATAATTTCCAGCCATTCTTTCTTTCTTCTTTCATTTGTAGGTAAACTTTAAAAATAATAATAGTGAAATAATAAAAACCTCGTAGTGAATTGTTTTAATTACAGAATATCGATAATATGTCTGCTTACAAGAGCAACACTATCTCAAAATAATCGTTATCAACAATCATTAAAATATACTATCAAACAGGCAATCTAAAGTAACCAAAGCAAAATTCGGCAAGACATATGAATGAACTACTTAAATGAGTCTTATTACATGAGATATTTGGGCTATTGTATGATTTATAGGCAGAAAAGTAGCATATACCGGTGTACTGTAACATTCGGTTGATTTCCGCTTTTTCTACTGCAGCACCCCTTAATGCTGCAGCGACGCATTTTTATCAATACTTAATTGTTCTCACTGTCAATATTTTTCATTGCAATTCATGCGAATCATTCACTAAAACATTTGGCTAAACATTGCTTTTGAGATTTAATATACTTCCCTTTGACAACCGGTTACGGTACGGTATCCAAAAATGGTAAAATGAGGACAGTTGGCCTTTAAAATAAAATGACGTTACGTATTTTCGATTCCCGTGTTTGACATAAATCAATGTGGTGCTATCTATTTTGGTTTAGTTAAACAAAGACAATGAAATGTTTATGTTTTCAACGTCTAAATGCATCATATACATATAACGTCTGATTTATATATCTATCAATATAACATATCCTTTGATTTCCATAATCTAAGAGCGAGACGAATACTTATGTATACAGTTATCTGTATAATATGGATTACTTCAAGTTGATTTGACGAAACCAGAATTTTAGGTTCATTGAAGGCAAATTCTATACTGGAAATGTTTATTTTTCAAAGGAATAAAATAAAATTTAAAGAGATTGTGCGGTTATCGCCGTGACATATTTCATAAACAATTCTTATTTGAAAGAATATAACTTTATCTTTAAACGTAAACATATATCTAAGTTCTTAAATGCGAATTTTGGATGCAAATTTAAACATATTTCTAGAATTACCTTTATTCCAATCGCAGGTGTTGCAAACCGTAGTTGTGCCGTCAGAATTCCTCGCCAGGTGTCTGAAGACAAAAAAGGCTACCTTGAAGACAGGAGACCGGCAGCAAATGCCGACCCTTACCGTATCATATCAATTATGTTGAAGACTTGTATCTTTGATGAATAATTTCAGAATTATTAAATGTGTATTGTATATACAGTTTTGTTGCTACCGTTACGTATTGTGCTGTTGATGTTTTATTCGTCTGTTTTTTGTACTGTTTTGTTTTGTGTGTGAAATTTGTAACGTGTTTGGTTTTTAGTGAAATAATTTTAATTAACAGGTTTTATTCCTAATACTTTATTATATATTAAAAATATCATGATAAAGTTATGAAAGAAGTCCACAGTTTAGATAGTGGTGTGTCGGTGAGGGTGAATAACAATGCTCGCCATTTGCTGTGTCAATTTCAGTAACATTTTTGGCATTCGTTGATTCCTATCGTATCACGAGACAGATACAATCTAATTGACACTGAGTTTCAGACGTAACGGAAACATTACACCCCTTTATGCGCTTGTCGCACTGTACTTGTGTAGCATAGCGCCTCGCTTATTTTTGTCAGACAGAACAACTTTGTGATAAGATTCTGAGAGAGACCTCAATGTTATGGTTCTTTGTAACTATACTCTAGCCAAATTCGATGTAGAATGTTTTATAACAAAACGTTGCTAGGCAACCAATGATGACATAGGAAAAGAACATTTTTTTCAATGCTCATTATTGAGGCTTGCTCTGCCCACGGTATTGCGTTATGTAGAAGTAAAACTTACCTAGCCAATTATTATAAAGTTTCCAAAATACCTATTGATGCATATGATTTAGGAATAAAAATAAGTGTTTGCATTGTATTAATATTTACTGCTAGATGGTAGGTAATGGTAGATGAAAAGAAACAAAATTGTAAGATTTTATTTGATCCACTGCTCTTGGTTGGAGCACGAGGACTAAAATGTTCTTATGCTTCTACCGGTAAGACCAAAATTGCTCCATATATAATGTACTCTTTGCAGTTGCCCCAAGTGCGTCCAGTCAGAATGCACTTAATCGACTTGATATATAACCTATACGCGAGTAGCTATTCTATACCAAGTGACGGCACGAACAAGTCATGCGCCTGATGTTAAGCGACAAAAGATAAAAATATTAAAATTTATTCCCACTAAGTAGCTCATGTATGGAACTTTTGGGTTACAATTGTTCCACGTGGAACTGAGGATATGGAACTACTGGGAATAAACGCTAATAGCTTTTGATTTAACTCTTTGAAAAGGAGTTTCAATAGCTTTTGATTTAACTCTTTGAAAAGGAGTTTCAAGAGTAATTTTTCTTTAAAACAAGAATATAAAATATACTACCGATTATGTATACAATATTTAATCTATATGCAGTTTAATGGAGACTTATTAAAATTAAATATGTAAGACTTATATAATAATAAAAGACTTAAAGAATAAACTCACAAGGCCTATATTCTATATATGGTATCTAGAAAAATACGTATTTCATTCAAAACTGAGGGCGTACTTGTTTTTCGCCTGAAGTATGTAATTAATTATACTAATATGCCTTTTTATATATGTACATTGATCGTTTAGTGCTTTTCCCATTGTAATTTGCTGGGTCTTAAGAGGATAAACTAATACTTCCAGCAAAAAACTATCACAAATCGCTGCGAAAAATGTTCCAAGATGATCTTCAATGCAAACATGCCCTGAGGTAAATACAGAATATAGCATAAAACGGCCTTAACATAATTAAGTCTATTCATACTCTATTCTTTCAAAAATTGAAAGTCACTGTTCTATTTGCATACTAACCTTTTTTCTCCCTACTAATAGAGTGATGCAATATAGGCATGCTACCCATTGACTTACAATTATATGGACGTCGGGTCCGCGCTAAAAAGTGTCCGAACTTATAGGGCGTTAAAATCGTATACAGAGCGTCATTCACGCTTTAGTCTTCGTTTGTTCGACTGAGAGCGAAGCAAGCAAAATTAAACAGTACTCCGATGACATAACAATTTAAATTCAACGTTTTAGCTTTTTCATATTCCTTTACATGTCACTACGTTTAAATAGGTTGACTTGGGACATTTTTTTCGTGGTTTTTGTGTTAAACCCGTCGTCCATTTACTTGTAAGTCAATGATGCTACCCTATTTTTTAAATGATATTACCCACTGTAATATACGGCTAACGTACATGATGTACATGTATTTTTTGTGAAAGTACTACTACTAGTTTAAAAAAAGTACAATTGCGTTGCTACAGAGGATTATTTGTAACCACGCCACCTATTATTAATATTTGTACCTATTATTTATTAACTGCCTCAGTGGCCGAACGGTTACCGTGCTGGAATGCCACGCAAGTGGTCCCGAGTTCGATTCCCGGGCCGGGAGAAATATTTGCATGGCCTACATTTATTCCTCTCGTGAGTTTGGGTGTAATTTGTTGTTGTCTATCCATGTGTCCAAGTCACCCGTGATACAGGGTTTCCCTAGTGCGGGGCTATGAGTGTGTGCTCGTCATTATAATTATTGTAAATGCAATTTTAGCTATTTTTCTGAATTTAGCCAATGCCCAAACGCTGTGTATTGTGTACCAGTGGCGAGGCGTCCATGTAACTCGACTCCCATCGGTTTTCCTAAAATTATCCACATATTACCAAAAGACTGTACTAGACAGCGCGCACTACCACCATTTAAAAAACTTGTATTCAATGATAATCGTGTAGTAATTTGTCCTTAATAATACGGAGTACTGTAGCTTCCCGATGGATCTTAGCCAATCATAACGCGCAGCAACCAATTCGCCTTTGTGGCGGGAAAAATAGTTTTGTTAATGTAGTTGTTTTTTGTTTTGCTCCGATTTTACTAACGACAATTTTCACGCCTCGCCACTGCTGTGTACATACCTCCTAAAGATAGATTGAGTAGATCATTCAATAAAAATCACAGGTGTGCTAATTGGGAGGTGAAAAATTTCTCACTACCCGTACAGCCATGTGTAACTGAATGTTTATGGGCCCGTATTTATTCACGATAATTTTGCAATAATAGGTAATCAGTACTTACTGGTCCATGCACTCGTTGATTGTGCACAACCCTATTGTAGTTGTTCATGGTGTATCTAATAGTATTTGCCTACACGCTATATACATTACAGCTACCACGTAATCGTAGCACTATCCTCTTCATCCTCTTAAAGCATTCTATCTTAGGCAAAAGTCGACGCCGATCTTCTGGGACACCATCGATGAGCTGCTCCTTATAAGCTGCAACTGCAGGCTACCATCTGCTGCGCCAACTCACAGTTTCATTTCGTAGTAATTTTCATTACTTACTTAAAAATCGTGACATATCGGAAAAGTAGCGATCAGCTGACCGAAATTTTCTGGCCTAGAATTTACGTATCTATCACAGTGGGAAGTAAAATAACTTTTTAAATGTCTTTGTTATTATTAACTGAATATGACTACAGTTTTCTGTTAGACATTGTGTAGAAATAGTAATTTTAAAAAGTTATTTGAACTATTTATTACCTACAACTATTTATACTCGGCCTCAAAGTAAGCTTACAAATTTTCAACTGCAAATGTATTAAAATGATATCCAAGTGCCATTAATTTCTAAGAAAGGATTAGCTGGAACCTACCAATACCTAAACAATATTTTCTGTAGGTTTGTTTATAACACATTGTATACACGACATAAAAACACATTAATTTCAACTCTATTTCACTGTAGAAGCAAAATACAATGAAAGTCAGGTTTACACCATTTTGAGATTATTTACAAATCCTTAGTCATTTGTTTGCATCATTTTCGTTATTTTGAGCCTGTTATGTGGTACCTTCAATGATCTGTAAAATTGGACCAATAAATCCCTGACATTACAAAAACATTTATCACTCTGCTTGTATCTCTCAACTGTCGGTACAGCACAGTAAGATCGTACATCATTCTTACTGCAATCGATATAAAGTTGAGTTTAAGTTACGCCACACTGTACGCCAGTACGTCAGCAGTAGAATTTGCCTTCCAAAATGCGTGCTGATGTAAATTGGGAATAACTATATCTCACTGCTAAATACCGATTCGAATGCAATAAAGCTTACTTGAATAGCTTCCAGTGTTTATTGTTCCTTCTATTTGTAGTTACAGATTTTGTATAAAATACGTAACAATCACAAACTTTTGAGGTTAGTGGAGAGTTGAATAATACATAGAATAAATGTTTCCGATTTCTGATTTCTGATAATTCCGCACATATCTCAACAACTTAATGCCACTTAAAGTCCTCAGTGTCGCCGGCGGAAAACATATTCTTCCGTCCTTAATTAAAAAAAAGTAATTAACATAATCAGACACTCTATCGTGCGCTACAGCAATCGTGCGCGATTGAGCACGCGTGTAAAGACATTGGAAGGAAAAGGTAAAGACCCCGCGATTATGCTTATCAGTCGTGCGTGCAATTGCGCACGCCAACACGCGCCAGTGTCACGCGGTCCATCTTGCGCTATTAGCCTTTATACGGACACTCTTTTCGTTGTAACAAAAACGAACACGAGGAAGCGCGTGCGAAACAACATTAGCTTAAAACATTTTAAACAGGTTATCGTGCACGATTGCGCGTGCAGGGTTTCCCGCGCGCAATCCTGTACGATAGAGTGACTCCTAATTACGCGCGATATAGTGACTGTATAAAGTGGGCTATTGACCTATCTGGAATCAGTAAAACGAGGTCTACAATCCCCTTTCGTTTCTTTTTTTATATTTTATTTTTTTTTTAAATCGTTTTTTTCATATTTTATTTATTTTCAGTTTTGTTTAAGCAAAATCAGCGTAATTGACATTTTTCAAACGTCAATGTCAATATCTCGAAAGTTACTATAATGCAAATGCGTTCTTTATGACAAGGAGTGCAGTATTAGTCCGTGATTACTCCCCGAATAGATGTTATCACGTTCCGTAAGTTATTACACTCATTTAATATTGCGGAAGTTTTCAGTAAGGGGTAAGGTCACATTACATTTTCATTTTAAGCATTTGGAAAGTTACTTGGCAAAGACATAAAAGAAGGAGAAGAAAAAGAAAACAAAGAGAGAGGAAAAGGTTAAGAGGAAAGTCATACATAGCAACGAAAACAATTGGAAAATAAGGTTATGACGAACAAGTAGGTACAAAAATCTGAAAATAGTAAAGATAATCCTTTTAATGGGAAAAATAAAATTATGAA